CTTCTTTGAACATTTTCAATTTTGATTTTCAGTGAAGTGAGTGCTGGGGACCAGACTTGGGTAGCGTAATCGAGGTGGCACTTCACCATGGAGAGGTACAAAGAACGCCGCACTTTCGTGTTGGTCAGCAAGAGGCATGTGCTACGTAAAAGTCCAAGCATTTTGTTGGCTTTGCACACCACAACGAGGACTTGTTGATCCCAAGTGAGGTGGTTGGTAATGATACGTCCCAGGTCTTTTTCTTTCTAACGTGGACCAGCGTCGTATTTCCAAGATGGTAATCAAAACATAGTGGATTGCTTTTTCGGGTTACTGTCAATACCTTGCACTTCGATGCGTTAAAACTAATGTTGTTGTTATGGCTCCAAATACTCAGATGATTCAGGGATTGTTGCAAGCTTTCACAGCTACCAAGACAGGATATGCTCTTGTAAAGTTTCGAATCACCAGCATACAGTGCTGTCTGTGACGCATCAGACACAACATAAGGGAAATCGTTGATAAAGATAACGAAAAGTAGAGGATCAAGTAAACTTCCTTGAGGAACGCCAGACGTTACAGTCGCCCAATCGGATGTTACACCATCTACAGCGACTCTTTCAACACGGCCGTGCAGGTAGTCGGTGAACCAATTTAACAAGTTTCCACTTACCCCATATGATTTTAATTTGGCAAGAAGAATGTCATGGTCAACGGAGTCGAATGCTTTGGCGAAGTCCAAATATAGAATGTTTGTTTCGATGTTCTTGTCCAAGCTCTTGCCGATAGCGTGGAAAACAGACAGAAGTTGTGTCACACACGATCGATTTCTGATGAAGTCATGGGAGTACAGTCGAGGGAGTACAATCCGGAATTCTCTCTTATCATAGATACAACTTGCAGTTCCTCAAGATGTCTGATATACTCAAGCACGTGCTTCTCCTCAACAAAAATCGCCAGGTGAAATGGCACCGTCTTTAAAGAACTATTTTAGATTCACTTGGCTCTAGGGGAGAAATTAATTATCAAGAGATTGTTGTTGTCCGTCATTCAGCGCTGTCGGAGTGTTTGATTGATTGATTGATCTTTAATAATTACCACATTGTAAATTCATAAAAATTTAAAAAACATGATATTACGTACAAAGATAATGTTAAAGCTTTTAAAAATTGCAAAAAGTTCGGTTAAAACTACTATATTATAAACTATATGGATATGTACTATAAAATATTATGTTATGCCTATTTTCGGTCCTAGTTTCTAACACACTTTGGGATAAAACTGTTCTTATATCGTTCAGTTTTGCACTTGTACATAAGATGAGTGCGTTTGTTTGTTAGACTGAATTTGTGAGATATAGCACTGGGAAGTAGTGTTCTCAACTTGTCGTCTGAGTGTTGATGGATGTTCTTATAAAATGACAAGCAGTGATTCTCTCTTCGCTGGTAAAGTGTAAGAAGGCCAACATTTTGAAGCAGCAAAAGAGGACTGCGGGAAAGCGATCTTCAATGCACGTTTTTGTATACTCTCGATTTGGTCAGCGAGGAATTGAGGGAGAGATAAATGCCATGCAGGTGAGGCGTATTCCAAAACTGGACAAATATATGCACAAAAGACCGTTATTAAATCATTGGCTGGCGCACCAGATCGTAAAACGTCATAAAGACGTTTACTTGCTTGGTGCAGATGTAATCAACGTGCGCATTCCAGGTAAGTTCCGATGATATTATCACTCCCAGAAGTTTGAAGGTCTGGACGATTTCTCTGTTTAAACCAGATGAAGAGAGGGCATCGAATTCCATGGGAACTCTAAGGAAGGATATACGCATTTCTTTGGTTTTAGATACATTAAGCCTCGTGTTGTTGTGATTGGTTCAGTCATTTATAGTGTTTATATTAGTTTGGAGCGATGAATTGGGGAACGATCTTGAAACGATTTCATAAGTGGAACAGTTATCGACATATTTGTACAATGGAATGTTAATTAGCAAGTCGTTTATCGTCACAAGAAAGGAGAGGGGTCCAAGTTTTGTACCTTGTGGAACCCATGCATTTATTTGTCGCCATGATGATTTATTCTGGCCAAGTTTGACACGTAGATATCGGTCGTGCAGGAACTCAGAGCACCAGTTCAACAACATAGGAGGGATGTTAAGTTGTTGTAATTTATGAAGTAAAATATTATGATCGATGCGGTCAAAGGCTTTCGAAAAGTCAATCATACAACATCTGATAGTCGAACCAGTGTTTTCTAATTCGGCCAGCCAGTTATGGATCATGTGGATAAGAGCGTGTGTGGTGGAGCAATGTGTCATATTTCCAAACTGGAGCGGGCCTATTGATGGTTTGATATAATTAAAAAGCCAACGAAAAACGAAGCCTTCCAATAATTTACTCAGCACCGGTGAGAGAGAAATAGGTCTTAGGTCGCTATCAACTGATTTGGGATTAGATATTTTTGATACTGGGATAACGTCTGCTGATTTCCAGAATGTCGGGATGCGACCTTGTGCAATGCTGGCATTAAAGATGAAACGTATCGGACCAGAAAGCAGCGGTGCGGCTGATTTCAGTACCCAGTTCGGAATGCCGTCGGGGCCAATTGGTTTCTGAGGACTGATCTTTTCCAATTCGGTTTCGACTTGTTCGGTTGATATTATGTACTCATCAGGAACTGGTGTAATGTGAAGCTTGTTGAAGCAGAGTCGGGCCAATCTGTCTGAAACAACACAGAAAGATTCGGCAATTAGTTCAGCAAGCTCAGGACCTCTTTTGAACTCACCATCATGGAAGATTCTCGAAAAAGGTTCGGATTTGGATAAACCAGACATGGACTTGATATTATCGTACTATTTTTTCGGGTTAGATTCTCTGGTGTTAAGAATTTTCCAATAGGTGCATAATCCTCCACCACGTTGGTCGTCACATCCGTCTTTGCGAATGCATGAAAACCCGGGGATCTTAATGAGATCATTCGTAATATTTGACGAAAGCCATGATTTTGTGATGATTGCAATATCACATTTATTATTAGTAATAGTTACACTGATCTCATCCAGTTTATTGGTCATGGAACGGGTGTTGCTTAGGAAGGATGTTGGGAAGTCATAGGATAGACGGGTGGTTGGAATCGTGATTAACGAGCCAGTCGTTGGACAGGCTTTATTTTAACGTGCAGTTGTACACAAAAAGTGCAGTTCTAAACCCATTTGTGCAGTTCTTAAAACACAAATGTGCACTCACTAAACTAACAACAATAGCCTTAATTAAAATTCCAGAAATGCGAGTATCAAAAACATAAACGTTTTTGTGGGAGGACTCCAGACCCTCCTATTTTCCTCACAAATCACTTTAATACGTGCTGGAGTAATGGAAAAGAAGGTAAAATTGGGGCGAGCGAAGCACCCTAAAAGAGATTAGAGCGGGACAACCTAATATTCTTTGCTGTCTCAGATGCAAATTTAGGGTTGTTATATATTGAATATCAATAATTCCCAGTTACATGCTTTGAAACAGTTTTTGTGAGTGGTTTGGGTAAAACAAATCTTTCCCAGAACTTAAGAGCCTCTAGATTCAAATTATTTGGGGGAACACCCCCTAGCTCCCGCAACCAAAATCGAGTTTGTCTGGCCTTTCACCAATTCTCCCACCCAACCACACCATTATTCTGTCACCTATATGCAGATAAAAAATCATTCGACCCCCGCCCGGCCCCTCCCAGTCAAACTCCCGTTGCCTTCGTAACATTCTATATGTGCAGTTCTAAATTTTTCTTAAAATAAACCCTGTAGTTGGACGATGTTTAATGCAATTCCAGCGAGGTTGGGATTCAGAGTCGAGTATTTGACAGATTTGAATATTCAATGAGTCAGTATGAAAAATTGACGTGAGTGATATTATGTTAGTGCTCTAAGTCATATACTCGTCATATCCATGACTTGCAGTTTTTAGGTCATAATATGGCGTACAAGGTTCAAGTGATTGTGCCAATCTTGCTTTCGACGATTATTGATGTATTACCGGTGATTCTGTTTTACCGAACTGCCTCGACTCTTCCTGCGGTAGCGTTGCCGCAAAAAAGGACGGCTTCAGTGCTAAACTTTGATTGTACTGTTTCAACGAGGGGCAGATTGCCTACCATTCAGTAATCTTGGTACTCCGCGGTGCACAGGGTTCAGTTTCTGCTATGGTATTAATGTATTCTTTGTTAGATTTAGGTGCTTGGTGAACCATGCATTGTTTCAGGGTTTGATTTTGGAAAATGTTTTGGAATTGGTTTCCTATTTCGCAGGTATTTTTTGCATTGCGGTCAATTGTTGGTGATTGGAAACTTCTCTGGGTTAGGTTACCATAATTAGCTTCAGACATTGTTGATGTTTGTGCGCTTGGCTGGGTTGAATAATTTGGATTTTTTCGACACAATTTGTTGGTGAGTGAGTAACGCGTGGTTGAATTGCATTAGAGTTATCATGATTAGAATAAACGATTATTGGTGTTTGAAAGCTTAACTGGGTTGAATAATTTAACTTTTCTTTAGTATTATCATTAGGCAGTACACGACACCCTTAGGAGCATCTGATATTCTCCCCTACGGTCGCTAGCTCGCCCCGAAGTTGTTCCATCGCTTGCCTTTTAGCCTCCAAATCTCTCGCAGTTTTCGATAATTTGATTCAATAATTAGAGAGGCCCCATTAGGGGTTATCGGGATACAGGATATTTAAGGGAAAAATTAGAGGGAAACGGGATACTAAAGGGATACGGGATATTAGAGGGATACGGGATATATATATTGTCCATGTCCTATGTACTCTTTAATTTTGGCATTATAGGGATACAATACTGAATAATTATAGGAATACGGGATATTTGAACGAAAAATAACAGGGATACGGAATACCCATACCCCCCCTAATGGGGCCTCATTAGAAAGTCTAACTTGAGGTCTTCTATTTCAGTAGACAAGTTGATATCTGCAGTCTGTGCGACAGGTGGGTCTTGAGCAACACTCTGCTCCGAGTACAGATCAGTTTGCGTCCCCAGTTCACAAGTACTTCGTTTGTCGCCATTTCTAGAGGATTTATGATTTACAAACTTTGTATTCAACTGACAGAGATTATTGAAAATCTCAGACAGCCCATCGATTTTGCTACTCATTCTATTTTGACACTCATTTGGTGACTCTCGACTGCTGTTGTTGGCTAATACGATAGGTTCTTGTTCACATGTATTGGCATGGTCGTGCGCCAAATCTCTCTTTTGTAACAGTTAATGATCAGATCTTTTAGTTTACTTCCCTCCTCACCTTGAAAAAGCAAAGACTTTTTATTTCCATACCAGGTTAATTAATTAAAACAAATTTGATCGTGGCGAAAAGATTTCGCTGATCCCGCAGGAGAATTCCATTTGCCGACATCGCCGCACAAACTTGACACAAAGTCTTTTAAATAAGTTAAATTCCCTAAACATTTTACTCTTCTGTCTTCACAGCCTATTCAATATATTTGCCACGTTTCTTCCAGATATCAGTGGAGTTCACATTTAGAGTAAGATCGAGTTCAGTATAATTGTTTGTGTTGCCGTCGTTCACAACGCTGTTCTCAGCCATTTCTTCAACCAATAAAGCACGGGAATATAGTTCAATCTGCATGTTAGGATTTAGGAATCAGCGAATACTTGACAGAGATTACCAAATACACCACCAAAATATAGTTTGGCCGATCAAGAATCAGTTCATGTGCCTAGTTCTTGAATAACAGAGCAAAAACTGTTCGTAAAAGCGAGATTTGTATACTTCTGATTCTCGCTACAATTAATAATGTAAACAAATATTCGTCGATCTTGTAGAGTGAAACTTCATGATAATTCAGCGAATACTGGACAGACATTCACCAAATTTGTACTGAAGTGATCAGAAGAGGTTAAGGAACACAACATTGTGTAACTTGTTGCCAGTATGTAGAGATAAAAGGTTGAAAAATTCAAAAATTTGCGGAGCCGAAAGTTGCCGATGCGATTAATGGGGCGTTCTCATACGTTCATGTAGTGGCCGGGATTTCCTGGATCAGGGTAATGTGCTGCAACCTTAGAGAACCTCGCTCCCACCCAACGTATCTCCTGGCATCTGTTGCAAATTTCTTTGCATGCCTGTAAAAAATGCATGCAAAAGCGCCAGTATGCTTCAATTTCTTCAATTTTCATCCCATTTATACTAAATATCCTATGAACATCGAACATATCTTACAAATCGTATGCTTTTTTGTTTTTGGAACTGCTACTTTCTGGCGGAGAAATTACGTCACAAACCTGGCGCAAAAAAATAAGCTATATATGATTTAATGCGTACATTGAGATGAGCTGACTAAGGATATCTTAAAACTGAAATCGGTTTGGAAATACAGGTATCAGTTAGGTAGCGAAGCATCTAAAGCATGGGTAGGGGGGGGGGGGGGGGAG